TTTACCAATGAATGTATGGAAGCGTCGAGGAGAGGTGGCAGTAATGTTTCTGACTGGGTTGTTCAACAAAATCTTAGACGGCGAGAAGATGCCTGTGGAATGGAGAAGTGTGCTGGTGCCCATTTTTAAGAACAAGGGAGATGTGCAGAGTTGTAGTAATGACAGAGGAATAAAGTTGATGAGTCATACAATGAAACTATGGGAAAGAGTAGTTAAAGCACGACTAAGAGCAGAATTGAGCATTTGTGAGCAGCAGTATGGTTTCATGCCAAAAAAAAGTACAACAGATGCAGCATTTGCTTTCAGGATGTTGATAGAGACAGACGCTCCCCAGGTAACGAACGAGATACGTTCCGAAGGATCGTTCGCTGGCTGAATTCGTCCGAAAGTTGCTTCAGTTCTATATTTTGTATGGAATGTATGTTTAAGGCTTACATAAGTACATTTAAGGTTTATATAAGTATAATAAAATGAAGTTTAACATAATTTTGGAAGATGTACACGAAGGCTGAAGAAGATGATGGAGGGGGAGAGAGTTCCGTCTTGAACTTCTTCATGGGGACAGGCGTTACCTCCTCCTCCTCCTCCTCTCACAGCGCCTCACGTCGGTATTAGCGGCGGAAAGAAGTACTACAGTACTGGGAAAAAGGCGCGCAATACAAAATCTGACTGACAGCATCTCTGCCCGAGAACATTTTTCGACATACCTGTACCCGCAAAAATGTTCGTATGTACCGTTGTTCGCAACACGAAAGCACGTAAAGCGGGGAGCGCCTGTATTTGCTTTCAGGATGTTGATAGGGAAGTACAGAGAAGGTCAATTGGAACTGCATTGTGTCTTTTAAGATCTCCAGAAAGTATGACAGGTCGTGCCCAGCAAAGAACGGTGGTCTTGTATGAGGAAGTCTGGGGTGACAGAGAAGTCCTGTATTTTCACGACGATAAGGCGCCATTAAATGTCTTAAATTTTTTTCCAAAATGGACAGGACACCTTATAATGTGGTGCGCCTTGTATATGCACCGAGTTCCAAAG